TGGTTAGGTCTAAAAATGTATATAATTTTCTACTCGATCTTTTCCATTTACAAAACCTGTCAAATTGTATCACACCCTTTCAAATTGTATCACACCCTTTCAATATTACGTCACTTTTCACGCTGGGCACGAAAGGCTGTAAAAACGCCGGATTTAGCTTGTTGCCATTACTCTCAGCCAGTGGTTTCTCCTATGGCGCTTCTGTATACTTCATGTAATTTTTCACGTAATAATTCAATATGGCGGAAACATTTGGAGTGGAAGAAGCTGTTGAGTGTATTTTTAGGGCAGATAAGTCAGGCGAGGAACAAAAAAGTGATGCAGACATCGGATGCCGGGAACAAATAAGCAAATCTGAACCAAACGGAATTGGAATAGAAAAAATTCTTCAAACTACCTATATAAACGCGGCTTGTGTACTTAAACACGAGTCCCAACTGTGGCTGGTCGCTATCCAGAGATGGCTCGCTGGGAGAAGAAGTGTGAGACATCCATATTATGCAGAATTTTATCGCGACATTCCAGTTGACCTTTTTACTGCACTGTCTCACTCCATCAAAGTTTCAAACGATCCATAATTAGGGGAACCTATGTGCTATATTAAAGGAAACAGCAAAGGTGAAGTGGTTTCTTTAACAGACATCCAGTCCCTAATCTATTTGCTAACATTGTTGTCTGGCAAGCAGCAAGATGTGGCCTTTTATTTGAAAAGAACGCTCGGGGGAGCACGGAAAAATCACAAAACAAAGGTTTTAGTCTCCCAAGAAAAAGGTTTTGGACTTATTTATAGTTACAAGAAAGGGCAGTTGACAATATGTTTTAATTATGGTGAATGGAACTCCTTTGGATTTCCCCAACATAACTGCAATTTAAATATTTAAATTTTGTACTTTAGCAAACTGATATTTATATTTAGCTAGTGAAGTCACTATATGGCATCGTTAAAGTTTTTTTTCTTTGTTGTAATCAAATAATATCACAATTAAAACAAAAAATATAAAAGCAGGGATTTTGCACCCCTACCTGCAATCTCTAGCACCTAGTGTTATATCCAGCACAAACATATTAGCATCATACTTATGTTAATAGAAATTTCTATGATTTATGACACTATGGACAGCCGCTAAGATACCCCTGTGCACAACTGATACACAGGCAGAATATGGACTGGAGCTGTTTAAAAATTAAAATATCTAAAATGCCATTCCATTTCATATTCACATTGATATTGAAAGTAGATGGCAGAATTTGCCAGTTGTCAGCTTCTAATAATACCCCTGGATCTATTGGTACAGCTGTGGCAAAACTTTCTATGACAACAAGTTGTGCTAACCAACTTTTTACCATGGGTAGCTTCTCCACTGACACCCTCTCTCATCTGCCAAAGAAGCTAGATTTGGCATTAAGAATCCCCAACCGTGTGGGTCTAGCGAATTGTTATTCAGTTGTCGCTCAGTGAATCACTGCTCAATACTTTGTTCCCTATATTTTTTTGCTCTGGACTACTTCACAGATTACACAGGTACAATTAAAAAATATATGATCAATTTATTTCAAGTACCAATAAATGTATAATAAATATAATACATTAAAAATAATGCATTGTAATATATTAAAATAATATATAATAAATATAATAAATATAATTCTAGTGAATTGTTATTCAGTTGTCGCTCAGTGAATCACTGCTCTCAATACTTTGTTCCCTATATTTTTTTGCTTTGGACTACTTCACAGATTACACAGGTACAATTAAAAAATATATGATCAATTTATTTCAAGTACCAATAAATGTATAATAAATATAATACATTAAAAATAATGCATTGTAATATATTAAAATAATATATAATAAATATAATAAATATAATTCTAGTGAATTGTTATTCAGTTGTCGCTCAGTGAATCACTGCTCTCAATACTTTGTTCCCTATATTTTTTTGCTTTGGACTACTTCACAGATTACACAGGTACAATTAAAAAATATATGATCAATTTATTTCAAGTACCAATAAATGTATAATAAATATAATACATTAAAAATAATGCATTGTAATATATTAAAATAATATATAATAAATATAATAAATATAATTCTAGTGAATTGTTATTCAGTTGTCGCTCAGTGAATCACTGCTCTCAATACTTTGTTCCCTATATTTTTTTGCTTTGGACTACTTCACAGATTACACAGGTACAATTAAAAAATATATGATCAATTTATTTCAAGTACCAATAAATGTATAATAAATATAATACATTAAAAATAATGCATTGTAATATATTAAAATAATATATAATAAATATAATAAATATAATACATTAAAAATAATGCATTGTAATATATTAAAATATTAAAAGAGATATAAAAATATCTTTGAATAAAATGCAGCCGTGTGCAGGCCGAGGAAACTCTAAGATGCTATCATAATAAGGGCAAAAAGCATTTGCTTTCCATCAATATCACTTTTTAAATTACAATAACAAATCCTTTCCAGAAACCCCAAATCCTTATTATTTATTAAAAGTCATAGATAAACATGAAATACTGAAACACGCCGTATTTCACCAACGTAAAGGCTTGTGCCAGCATGAGGAATGTATGAGGTGCAAATTTTAGCATACACGCACTCACTGCTTTAGGCAAGATGTGTAACTTAAAAGATACAAAGTACAATGCAAATGTTGTAGAATTTCTGATGCCGAACATAACTTTCGACCCAAAATATATCATATTTAACCCCCAACATGAATATCTCCAATACTTTATACATGTCTTGCAACCAACAACATCTTGCAACCAACAACATGCAATCTACATGGCCTATTTTTTTAAAAAACCCTTAACCTTATCCATCATTTTTTTCCTCAATTTATGGTTACAAAACCTGCAACTGGCAGACTGAACCTGTTTTTCACACCCACAATTGCAAAATTTAGAATCTTCAGTGGCACGCTTAGGGATATACATATAACGCGAACAGCATTCGGATGCTGGTTTTTCAAAATTGTAGCCCTTTTCCCTCAACCACACAAGCGAAACATACTCATGTTGAAAAATTTGCTCGCACCTGGCCTTAAAATTGGTGTTTTTGCTGTATCTTGAGATGGATATATGTTTTGACTCCCTCCCCTCCATCGAATTAAGACCAAGTCCTTTACCATACTTCACTTCCATATCTCTAGCATGCTCAGGAACAATGTTTCCCAATGTCCATGCAGTAGGGTGGTGGTCAAAATACAGATAATGTAGGACAAAATATGTTCGACAGTTTTTCTCCAAATCATCTAACTGTGAATCGGTTACATCGATTCGACTGAACACAGAAACACAATCCCGCAGGGTTAAACACAAGTAAGCAAGTACATGAAATGTAAACAATGCCTTAGTGTTTTATCTTTCAAAAATGGTTCCATAGCAGCAATTAGAAACATGAAGTTCTGCAAAAAGCACCGAGAATCTTTTCCGGTGAATCTATAATCAAACTTGCTATCTCGGTTTTCATTGAACCACCTAATAATTTTGTTTGCAAGTCTTCTAAGATTGCACTTAGTTCTCATTGCATCAATATATTTGTGAAATGGCGAAGTGCTGGGAACCTGCAAAAATGATTTTATTGCACTGGGTAATTGAGAAATCAGTAATACCTCTTGTAGAAGTAGCCTGTGGGCTAGTGCACATGCATTATTTTTTAGGTGCAAAGGATCAATATGGATCCTATCAACCATTGGGCCTAGGAGTGGTTTAAATTCTTGCCTACTTCTTTTGCCGGCTATGAAATTAGTTACTTTGGATCGCTTAGTACTTTCTGCTATATTTTGCTTTGCGACAGTCTGCTTGAACGTTTCAACACTTTTGGCTACTTGTACCCTTTCCGAATAATTCCACGGATGCCATTTTTTGTCTTTTTCCTTGCCAAACTGGCCGTTTAAATCAGTGGCATCTTTGCTAGAAACATTGGCAAATGAGCAAAAATATGTGGCACTATTAGTCAACTCACCGCACAAAAATGCAACCATCTTTAAATCGTTAGGGAATTCCGAGATATGAAATTTGATATCAACTGTACATGTCTGGCTTTCTGATGTAATGTATGTGCATTTAAAAGTTTGCTGTTCAAGGTGTTGTACATCAGACACTAGCATCTTAATATAACGTTGAACTGGAATGCAATTTTCTGAACAATTAGCACCGAATAACAAAAAGTTTTCATTGCTACAATCTTGGAAAAAATATTTGTAGACTTTTCGAAAAATACACCCAAATTTGAAAACATATGATGAAAATGTGAGCATTTTTCAATTAAAGCAACTATTTCTTTTAATTTAACCCCCCCCCCCCCCCCCCCGAAACAATGTTGGTTCAGGTAAAGTGGATTTGCAACACATGTCACCTAAATACCAACATTGTATAAGGGGGGAGGGGGACAAAGTTTGAAAATTTAAGAAGTCTACTAATTCTTAACCTTTAAGGGATAGAAATTAAATTTTTTGGACATATAAAATTCTCTATTGTATTATGTTGTTATGAAAGTCAAGTGGCACATATGTCAGTAGAAACAGACTCCCAAAACAATTTTCCGGGGGGGGGGGAGACTTCCCATGGTACGTTTATAGGAAATAGGCATATTTTACCGCCCACAGCTCGGGTTATCCTTGCAATTTCGTTGAATTTGGACACGAATATAAATGTTTTTATACTTTTGAATGTATAGTAAATTTAATATTAGCTTCAACTTAGAATCCTCTAGGTTTAACACCCTTTTCAAAATGTTTTACGTAGTATTTGCTCCGGAAAATAAGCGAATTTAATTTCATAAAATACACATAACTGCTTGATTTCTTGAGTTCTTTTGGATTAAATAAACTAAGAGATATTTCTGCTCGTTTATCGGTTGGTTGTGTCTTAAATTATGTTAGGATTAATTTATTTTTAAGGTTTTCAGTTCTCTATGCACATTTTCAACGATTATAGGTTAGAACACATCTCAATCTTCACATGTTACATCATGTTACATCATGTTACACTACATGTTACACTAGAATTACTATACTTTACTATAGTTCTTGACATGTTACTACATGTTACACCTATATTTTTAAAAGGAACTATAGATATTTTTAAAGGTAGGTGTAACATGTTGTAACATGTGAGGATATATAATAAAATATAGAACTTTTAGTGTAACATGTACTGTAACATGTGGTGTAACATGGTGTAACATGTAGTGATTTTACTCAGACTGTACATTTATTAATAATAATAAGATATTCGTTAAGACAAGCACTAATTTTGAGACAATCACGGGTACATGCGTTATAAAAGCATATTGAAACCGTATTAAAACATACTTTATAGGTACAATTCTGCACCATAAAATTTTAATGATCGACAAAATATGTGAAAAAATGTGACCGTCATGAAATATTGTACAATGTAATAATCTATATATGCCATATCTGTCCCTCTGATAGTTTTTTGTTATTAACTGCCATATTTTTTTGTCAATGCAGCCTTATTGGATAAATTAATCACAATTTTCCTTAAAACATGGGCACCTACATTAAGCCGCCCCCCGTCTACCGACCCCCCTGGCTTTCAAAAAGTTTAATCAAACCCTGAATTATGTTCCTAATATAGAGTCCTTTTTAATTTGAAAATTATGTTTTGAAAACGACTGAACAATTAACTTGGTAAAATGATTATCCGTTGTATTTTTTTCAGACAATCTTGGAAAAAATATTTGTAGACTTTTCGAAAAATACACCCAAATTTGAAAACATATGATGAAAATGTGAGCATTTTTCAATTAAAGCAACTATTTACTTTAAATTACCCCCTCCCCCCCCCCGAAACAATGTTGGTTCAGGTAAAGTGGATTTGCAAAACATGTCACCTAAATACCAACATTGTATAAGGGGGGAGGGGGACAAAGTTTGAAAATTTAAGAAGTCTACTAATTTTTTTCCAGGATTGTCTGAAAAAATACAGCGGATAATCATTTTACCAAGTTAATTGTTCAGTCGTTTTCAAAACATAATTTTCAAATTAAAAAGGACTCTATATTAGGAACATAATTCAGGGTTTGATTAAACTTTTTGAAAGCCAGGGGGGTCGGTAGACGGGGGGCGGCTTAATGTAGGCGCCCATGTTTTAAGGAAAATTGTGATTAATTTATCCAATAAGGCTGCATTGACAAAAAATATGGCAGTTAATAACAAAAAACTATCAGAGGGACAGATATGGCATATATAGATTGTTACATTGTACAATATTTCATGACCGTCACATTTTTTCACATATTTTGTATATCATTAAAATTTTATAGTGCGAAATTGTACCTATAAAGTATGTTTTAATACGGTTTCAATATGCTTTTATAACGCATGTACCCGTGATTGTCTCAAAATTAGTGCTTGTCTTAACGAATATCTTATTATTATTTAATAAATGTACAG